GTTTCCTCAAGCGAAGCTCGACTGCCCCGGAGGGCGATCTCTACTGGAGCAAAAAGGACTTGGACTAAGGCCGAAACTCAGAGAGTCACCCTCTATTTCGCGGGCTGCTCGGGAGGCGTGGCTGGCCTTCGTGTTGCCAAGGACATTGCTGAGAACAATCCAGGGAGTAGAGTTTTGCTAGCTACTTCTGAAACTACCATTATTGGATTTAAACCACCCAAGTGCAGATAGGCCATACGATTTAGTGGAGTTGCACTCTTTGAGGCGGTGCCGGAGCCATGATCATGGCTCGGATCCGGTTTCAGCCATTGAAAGGCCTCTCTTTGAGTTGCATACTGCTATCCAGCATTTCTTACCAGACACAGAGAAGATCATCGATGGTCGACTCACAGAAGAGGGATAAGCTTCAAGCTAGCAAGGGAGCTTCCTCAGATAATTGAGGATCACATTGAGGAGTTCTGCAGTAAGTTAATGGAAAATTGTTGGGTATTGTGAAGAGGACTACAACAAAATGTTTTGGGCAGTTCACCCCGGTGGACCAGCTATTTTGAACCGGCTGGAAAAGAAACTGGATTGGTGCCGGAGAAAACTTAGTGCTAGCCGACGAGCTCTGGCAGATTATGAAATGCCAGCAGCAACACCATAGTGTATGTGTTGGAGTACATGCTGGAAGAGAAGAAGAAGATGAAAGAAGAAGGGAGAGAAGACTCTGAGTGGGGCTTGGTTTTGGCTTTTGGTCCTGGGGTCACATTTGAGGGTATTCTTGCCAGGAATCCAAGTGTCTGAGAAACTTGTTTCCTGTTTCAATTAGTAGGAACATACAGTTCAGTTTGCTTGATCGTATATGATGTGATATGAACTGAAATTTCAATGGCAATGTTATGTTCAGTTTAACCTACAAAGGTGATTTCCTTGATCAATGCTATGGAGATGTACAGTCCTAGCATAGCACAATGTTTGAGGAGCGCTAGAGCCAACTCAGGTCATTGCATTTTTGTCAGCTAATTCCCATAAGTATCTAAATCAAAATGGTGTACTATTTCAACAAAATGCAGTCCATAAAATCTGGAAATATGCCACCATGGTACACATTGTCTAAACGATCAGACATCTCAAAAAATTTGCAAATATAAAGTGGCATTGATCGTAACAATATTTTTTGTATGGCTCAAACTTTGCAGCCAGCTACATTTACTGCAACTAAAAAACTAGTGGGCATAAAAGTGCTAGGACCACCAAGGACATCGACTCACCCACCTTGACCCCTGCAAGTTGAGGTTAGCATCATTGACTCATTCATTTCCAGTTAAAAGCTCAAAAAATACACAATAAGTTGAACTCGATTAGTGGCGACACAATGAAGTTGATCTGATTTCTGGCAAAATCAAGTTTCAGGTTAGATCATCCAAGAAGCCTGCATTGCCAACTTAGCATACCATCCATTTAAATTCCATTCATGACTACAAGATCATGGGAAGAACCAACGACCAACATGGACTGTATGATGAGGGAAAAATAACAAAAAGAAGAGCAACTACCATATATAAGTTAAATTCAACCGCAGCATGTGCATACCATCCATCATCAGTTACACTACTCCAGAAGGAAGGCGTAACACAAGCTGTCCTCCGAAAACACTGCAAAACAGAAAGAACTAGTAATTTTTAAGAAATTAAATACAAAAAGAAAGAAAGACACAAATGTAACCATAGCACTGATAGATGATAAGATGTCATAAAAAGTTGCTTTAACCTTTTCACATAGTAGTAACAGAAGTCTGCTAATATAAAAGTTTGAACAATTTCTGAGATAAGAACCATAGAAGGCCACAATCCATAGCCCAAAGCTGTTAGCAGATGGCCACGGCTGTCCAAAACCTGTCAAATGCACAGAAAACAAATCTCAACATAAACCACAGCATACTCTCTCTTACTGAAGCAATTATACCATTTTCAGCCTCACTGTTTTGCAAACTGAACATATTTTCTCAACATAGTCATCAACCACCACCTCAGCTTTTTCAAACTCTGACCAGGTGACTCCTATGGACCATATGATGCCAAAAAACTATTCTAAAACTATAGGTAGAAGATCAAATAATTATTTACTGCCACATTTGATTGAACAGGATGCTGTTGGCCATACACACTCCAACAATTGATGAATGAAAATATGAATCAGATCTTGTTCTACACTTCAAACAATAAATATTCAAGTTTGCACATCTTACCTGGAGAACCCAATGAGCACAGCTCAAGAACCTTGCAACACCCAATGCGAACACATAATGAGCTGTGAATGGTTCAACAATCTGAGAGAAAAAAAAAAAAAAAAAAAAAGCAAAGAAAAAAGAAGTCATAATATCATGCATTAACACTTCATCCAATTATTTTAATTAAAAGATAGGAAACTTGCTTCATATTGCTGTACCTTTGTGTTTTGCATCACTCGCAGTTGGGGTAGCACCGAAACAGCTTCCAGGTATACACAGAATGCCCATAAAATCCTGTTGATAATATGATGTGATGTGGATGGATGGATGAACAAAGCCAATAGAGCACAAGGTACCAACTGCAACAAAAGCAAAGGCCAACGTAAATTCCTCTTGCAATACGCACACACACACACACAAATAATTAGAATGACAATGATACCCAAAAACAAATTTTTAAAAAGAAAATCAAATAAGAAATACTTTTGAAACCAAACTATTCATATAAAAGATAACATGATCTAATATATAATTAACCATGCTTAATAATACAGATCAGGGAATGAATGAACATAAAAAGCATTTTTGATATGTGTACACCTATGGCACTTAATCAACTCATTAGCTGTTAAAAGCATATTACTTAAAAATTGGGGCATATCATTCCGATGGAATAGTTGGATCACTATTCCATGGGTGGGAGTGCCAAGGAGTTGTTTTAATGTGTTAAATGTTAGCAGATGCCATCAATTGTACATGGCGGTTGTTGAGGTGTATAGTTACTGCAGTGACTGTCAAATCTTGAGGATATACCACTAAGGGTTATAGTGTGTTTGATTGCTTCCCTGTGGTATATTTTCAATTTTCAGTAAAATCTTCCTCCCTTAGCACCAAAATTCGAATAAGATAATTAACAAAAAACTTAGGCTAACAAGAAAACAACGAAGGAGCCATACCCCATTCAAGGTCAATGCATAAAGAAAAAAATTGCAGAAAGAAAATGGCACGGGCACGATGGAAGACTCACCACATAATATATGGCAAAATTGTCTTTGTCCTCCATGTAACTTGACTTTAGTTTAAAACGAATCATATAAATAACCCACAGGGTGGTACCAAAAGTAGTTAAATCAAGGAAGGTGTGTATGTCATATTCCATGACAAAACTACAGTACAGTCTAACAGCCAGAAATATAGCTGTTAGTTCCTGGGATTTGAGTGACAGCCCTGCAATGGGAAAAAAACCATATATTAATCTGATCGGCATATAGTTAACCTCGAAATATGAATCAAAGATGGAAAAAAATACACAATCAATTACATAATGTTCGAAGAGGAAACCTTCTACCAAATCCAAAAAAAATTCTTTACATTATCCGAAGGCAGAAGAAAACTTGTCAAACTTTCAATAGCCAGAATCCTAGCTTGGTGCAAAGACTACAACCCGCAAAGTAATGAGGACAAGAAAACAAAGATCAAAAACCTAATGAAACAGTGATGAAATTCTATCTGGTCACCAGTCCTCGAATACGTTTGTTCACTTAAAATTTCCGGGAATGTCATAAAGTATTATAATCAGCATGACAGGTAATTTTTTTTGGAAAATTATCATAAAAGTTCTCTAATTGTTCCCCAAGCAATTTACATTATATATTCAATGTGGTGCCCAACTTCACAGGAAGTACCATAGTATACTCCAACAACACAGAAAAATCCTTAAATAGGCTTCAATTGCCATGATTGATGGCATAGAGACATACACCAACAGTTCATCTCCAGAGTATGGCAAACAAACAAGGTAGTTGGATCAAGTATCTATAATATAAAACAGGCAGACTTCAACAAGCTCATCCGACGGTCTCAAATAGACTCATCCAACAGCCATCAACATTCCTCTCAAAACCATTCACATTGCATCATATCTTTAGCACGGGTTACCCCTAGTACACTATAATTTCAACACAAAATTAACACTTTAGTACAAAAGTGAACTATTGTGAATTATATAGCCACTCAAACATACTCTTTTCCAACTAAAGCATCGAAAGGCATACAAATAGCAAAAAGATTGAGGGCCAAAACAAACTTGTTGGGAATCAATTGAAAAGAACAACATAAAACTTAGCACAAAATAGTAATTACCTACAATAGAGCTGAGTAATCCTTGTTTTCAGGCAAATGAGATACGTACAATATATAAATGCACACTCTAAAATGAGAAAAATCCTGATTACTAAGCATGTCATTCCACTCTCAAAAGTACATCCTGAAAGGGCAGTCCACTGTAAGGCCCCTCAAAACTGATCAATAGAGTTCTTACGCATACTAAAAGACCTTCACAGATAAATTGGGTTCTTTTGGTCCATTCCCATTGTAACTACAGAAGCATGTGAAATAATTACCAACCTCAGTCTAAGAAAACCCTAACATTGAGCAAGATGTGGACTTAATGTAATCACAATCTAACAAATCTGAATATTGGAAAGACAATGAAAAATCGAATCTTTTCCAACAAAACAAAATCTAAAAAAGCCAATCGAAACAAATTGAACATCTAATCTATTGTAGCTTCGTTTGGTGCCTGAAAAATCATCTATTAAATCAAAACAAGATCTTTGAGAACCTCCCAAATAAAGTTTAAATCTTTTTATTTTCCAACGATTCACCAGCAACAAAACACACCGAAGTAAAGATAAGATCAACACAAATATCTGTATATATAACTGCAAATTGTGTGAGTAATTTACCAGCACAAGTTTTTTCCTTCATTAACTTATAGATAAGGACAGTGATTCCAATGGAGTGAACAGCTTCGGCGGCGACGAAGAGATTGTCATGATCGTTCACGATGACTCGTAGCAACACCAGAGCTAACATACCTGCTACAACGGCCAAAAAAGCCTTCACCTTCGGCGGTTGTCGTCGCACCCATGTCGTCACGACGTGGATCGACCTTCTCGGTGGCCTCATCGTCTCTCTGTTCGATGTTTTTTCTACTTTTCTTTCTCTGATGTGTTCTCCAGAAAGTTACGGAAATGAAAGGAAAATTACGATTGATTTGTTATATTCTGTGTGCCTGGGAAAGATGAACGGATGGGTAGGAAGAATGGATTTATTTATTTATTTGAGTGTTTTTTTCACTTTATACCTCCATACTCATATTTGTATAAATAGGAAGATTAATTAGGAATTAAAAAAAAATTACCACCCCGTCTGGGTTAAGTTGATTTAAGGGGCTTAGGAGACCGGTATCTTTCAAAAAATTTAATAAGATAAAAATATAATTTTTAAAATAATTAACATAAAAGTATATATGCTAAAATAAAGTCTTAAAATCCCTTTTACCTCTACCATAAATAGTGTATACTTAATTAAATGTGAAACTTTTAAAATTAGAACGTGTGACTTTCAAAATTCTTTTTGATATTTGTGTATCATTTAAATTTTGAAATTTCATATATATATATACACACATAAAACATTGACACGCTCAACAAAAAAATAATAACATCAAACAGTAACACAAATATTTTTGTTGAGCGTGTCACTGTTTGATGTTACTCTTTTTTAGTTGAGCGTGTCACTGTTTGATGTTACTATTTTTTTATTGAGTGTGTCATCGTTTGATGTCACTGTATTACATGTGTGTGTGTGTGTATATATATATATATATATGAAATTTCAAAATTCAAATGATACACAAATATCAAAAAGAATCTTGAAAATCTTACATTCTAATTTTGAAAGTTTCATATTCAAGTAGGTATGCACTATTTATGGTAGGGGTAATTATAAAATATATTTTTAAAAAAAATTTAAAATATTTTAAAATGTGTACTTATTGACAACTATTTGATAAAAAAAGAGGACTTAAAGGATAATAAATTTGGAGGTGGTACTTAAAGTCAAATAAATTTTAGAAAAGGTACTCACATCTCATTATCTCTTAATTTTTACTCTTCTCTTCCTATTGGGTTTGATGAAACCCAGGTTTTAACTGAACTATTTATTACGGGCCACGATTTTAATTCCGGGGCTGAGAGTTGCATACAAAAATTACCAAATAGGTAAAAAAAATATAAACAGAAGTTAGACTCAATGAGCCGGATTGGCCTAGCCAACCCGTTGCTGGCCATTGCATGAAATTATCATTATTTTGAATCTAGATCATCTCTAATATATTTTAACTTCATTTTACTAAATGTTTGATAAGATAAAATTTGATCACCTACTCGTGTAGTTAGGGACCAGATATTACTCGAATTTACAATATTGTGATTTACAATTGAATGAAACTGAGTAAAAGTATATTATAGGAGATTTTAGTCCCGTTATTTTAATATTATGGAAAGAAACTCATGAAAGCTATTTTGGTATAATTGATATAAATCGTGGTCACTAAATGTGGATGCTCATTAGCATTTGATTATAGTCCAAAGAAACATTCAAAACAATATCCTAACCCAAGACACATTGGCCTTTGGGCCTAGGTGGTGATGGGTTGGGGTTATCGTACATCGGATAACTTTTGGGTGTGTGTGTGAGTTATATGGGCACTACGACACTTCTGCTTTTAAGTAGATGTGTTGTAGTTGTCCTCTAATCAAAACAAAGCTAATCCAAGAATGAAGTGAACAATGCTTTGCATTCAAGGTTTTCACAATAAGGCATGCTCACTTGAAACAATAAATAGATGCAAAGTCAAAAGACTCTACATATTACAATAACAATTTACACCCACTTTCTTGCTCATTTATTTTTCTAGCTTCAACACCCGATTGTTTTCCACACACTAAAAAAAAAACACCTCATTTCAATTTGAAAGATGAAATCCGTTTGTATATTCAATACCACAAGAAAGCATCTGTAAGTAGACTAAGGATGAATACAATTGTTTCCTAAGCATGAAAAGAATGGTGAGGGGAAGGAGGTTTGTGTCCAAACCTAGGTGGGTTGAAATACTTCCAAGGAACCCCAGAAATGGGAGGAAGTTGTGAGGATATGCTCTTCTATTAATTGGAGGAGCATTTGGGGCTAGAGCTAGAGGTTTGCAACCTTCTTTGAGGTCATAGAATTAATAATGGTTGCAAACATCAGCGCCTTCTGCTTGCGGCCATCTTAGGATAGTGACAATGGTTGACCACTTATCTTGTGTTATTTGGGGATTCACTTATAAAGGGTATGCCTTTCTTGAATTTATAATACGCAGTCCTTCTATCATTGACAGAAATTGAACACAAATCCTATTGTTCGTGGTGTGCCAAATCTTGTAAAGTCATTTATTAAAATTTTTGATTTGAAACTTGTAATGTATAACAAAATAGTTACAGTAAAGAGTTACAGCAAGGTAACGAAACAATAATAGTAAACTGATACACTTAACTGTTTGTTTAAACAATTAAAATAATAACCCGGTTGTAGAACATGAACTATTATTAAACTTTATGTAGATCAAGGCTAGTGTTTGACACTATGTCCTTAAGACAAATTTCACCCCCATACACGGTGCTTATGGAATACCGAGCGTTTGCCTCCTAGGATACAATGATCTTTACACAAACAGAAGTAACACTCTAATCTGCTCGTCCAGCGAACCAAAGTCGTGTTGTGTACTCTCTAAATGTACTGTCTTAATGCCGAAAATAATATGTTCTAATGTCTGTCTTATTGTTGAAAACGGACTGAATAAATGTATTAAATTAATAAAAATGAGTCTGGGTATTTACAGGCACATTGGTGACTTTTCGGACAGTCACGTTACTAAATGACACAATCTAGAATGACAAGGCACAACGGCCAGCAGACACTTTGAGTAATTGTTCTTCATGAACAGTCACAACTCAAAATTTCGGACTGGTGGGAAGCAAAAATTCGAACCAGTGCGATCCAACGGGTACGGAAAATTTATTTCGAATTAAGAAATTCTCGCCCAATTAATTAAATAAATTTTCTCCAAAAAGATAGGGGTAGGTCTAAACCACACCCGTACCCGAGCCCGGCCCGTCATGGCAAGGTGGTGGTGCGCGCGCGTGTGGTTGAACCGAAGGGATGTAGGTGCTCGCTCTGCTCATAAAACTATGGTATCCTTTGGGGCTCAATCTCATAGAACAAATTTGGCCTATATATGCCCATATTGAATTTTTCATTAACCAATGTGGGATTGGTGTCACATCACACATTGCACTTCCTTTATTATCACATTTCAAGAGGGTCACTTTGGAGCCTATTTTCTCATTCATTTCTTACTCGATTTGAGCAAATGAATATATTACATTATTCTTCTCATGAAGTAGAATATGAACCCACAAAATTTTATTCAAAATAACAATCGGGTTCCACTTTAATTTAGACTCAAAGTCGACCAAAATTCAGTTTTTATACTTAGAAAAACTGTTTTGGTCCAACAGATCCCACTCCCACTATTTTGATTTTATGGAAAGAAACTCTAGTACCAGAAAGCTATTTGGTATAGTTGGAATAGGCTATTTTGGTTTGCTAATTGTCATTCCATCATATTCCAAAGAAACATTCAAAACACTATCATACAGTTAACTTGCAGAGAATGAAGTGGACAGGTCTTTACATCCCAATGTTTTCACAATAAGGCATGCTCACTTGAAACAATTACAAGATGCAAGTCCACTAGTCAAGAGTGTAAACTTTGATCAAATAAAGAAGAGCAAAAAGAGAAAGATAAAATATTATTATAATACTTCTTGACCTAGAATACATAATGTAGGCCCTTATATAGTAGGGCAACAAAACAATGTAAAATGCCTAAACTAGTCATAATAGGCCCTTATATAGTAGGGCAACAAAACAATGTAAAATGCCTAAACTAGTCATAATATAAATACTCTAACAAGAGAACCAACATACTAGAATAACAATCCAAATCCACTTTCTTGCTCATTTTTTTTTTCTAGCTTCAACACCTGACTGTTTTCCACAGATCAAAAGAAAACAAGAAACACCACATTTCAATGTAAAAGATGAAATCCGTTTGTTTATTCACTACAACGAAAAAAAGCATCTTTAAGTAGACTTATGACGAATGCAGTTGTTTCTTAAGCATGAAAAGAAGGGTGAGGGGAGGGAGGTTTGCGTCCAACTTTGGGTTGGTTGAAATACTTTCGAGGAACTCCAGGAGTGGGAGGAAGTTTAGGAATAGGAGGAGCTCTAGGAATGGGAGGATATGTTTTTCTATAAATGGGAGGAGCATTTGGGGCTAGAGGCAGAGGCGGTGATAACTTTTTGACTGGCGGACTTGGTCCATAAGTTGGTGTTCCAGGTGAAAATGGCTTCTTGTGTACTGGAACATGTGGTGAAAGGGGGCTGTTATATATTGGTGTTGGTGAAGGAGGTTTCTGATTAGTAATTGGTGGTGATGGAACTGTCTTTTTATGTTGTGGTGCCAGTGGAGGTGGTGGCAGCTTATTAGTACGAGGTGGTGTTAAGTTCTTATATGTTGGGGTTGGTGGTGGAAGTGGCTCCTTGTATACTGGTGCTGGTTGTGGAGGTGATATCGCATAAACTGGGGCGGGTGGAGGAACCTCTGGTGGTGGTCGCGGATACTTAGGATATTCAATTGGTATTCCTGGTAAAGGTGGCAGCTTAGGCAATGGCGGGTACTTGAAAAAAGGCCACAAGAACAATGAAGTGCATGTGGCTGGAGAGAATTTCAGTTTTCCATCTAGGCCTAGTGTTAATTTTCCTTTGTCTATAGACTTGATGATTAACTTTGAGGCCCTTTGGTAATTGAGGACAGGACATGGTGCACCCGAGGCACTGTGAAGCTGTGCAAAGCATTCCTCTTTCAATTCTCCAGCTTGTATGATCGCTCCAGGAAGAGATACTTTGTACTTCCCATTCTTATCGACATCACCAGCCCCCCGTTTCTTGAGTCCTCCATTTGTAGACTTGCAACCAATGGTGACATGAAGCCCTACACAAAGTAATGTACAAGATCA